GGTTGTTTCTGATTCTTTTCTGTGAGTCCCCACTGGAAGATGCTTTAGACTTGTGGCAGGCTTTGGGGCCTTGCTCTGGGCCATCTCATTTGGATGGAGTTTTACCCACGAGGGGACGGGTAACTTTGGGTGCTTGATTTAGAAACTAGACTCTTTGCCTTTCCTGTATTGTTTCCTAATTGTTCCTTCCCATTAAAGTCTCATGTTTTGTGTTGATGCGGTGGATGGCAGAACCCATTTAGAGCAGGCATGTTTGGGGGTCCTGGGGTGCCCCTCTCCCTGCCCGTGACAATCACATTATCTTTCCTACAATGATATGTTGCATTCTTGAAAGGAATCTCCTTGGCTGCTTTTTCTCCACTGTATTTTCATGTGGGGTGTGTGGATAAAGGTACAGCAGTGACACAGAAATTAAGATCAAGAAAGCTGGCTGGATTCTGGTCAGTGTGCCTGGGAAGTGAACTGGCCATTGGTCTGCAATTGGAAGGTCACATTCCAAATGGACTCCTCCCAAAACATCCTCTTTAGTCAAAGGGTAGAGCTGAAAGCTTTTAGCTGTAACTAATATGCAATCCAGATGGCATGACCCATGATTGAGTCATGCAATGATTTTTTAAAGGGCTGATGACTTCAAAAGCTGGCAAGTAGCCATCAAGGAGAATAAACAGGAGAGACAGTCCTTCAGACTTGACTGAATAGACTGGCTATTTTCTCTTCCCTTCTTTTTAATCATTATCCTCCCCCAGAGACATGATCCAGATCTTATTTCTCACCTCAGTCTGCAGAGTGTCTAGTGTTTTTTTTTTTCCCATCTCCTGCCCTGTGGATTAGCAGGTTTGGAAAATCACTAGCACCAATGGCTGATAATGAATTAACTGGAGTTATATTCCTGCTAACGTGTGTGTTATGGGAAGTGTTCTCAGACACAATGCTTGACACATGTGCCTCTGCAAAAACAATACAAAGAGAGAAAGCCCTTAAACCTCTCCTATTGGCTTACGTGTGATATATTCCAATTTCCTTAATAGGACAGTGAGGACAAGCACTGCTGCCTGCAGTTCCCTGTTTATCCTAGTGTAACAGGATCCCCGGAAAGGCAAGGTTCCAGGATTCCTGCCCCACCCAAGGGAGGGTGGAGCTGAGCAGGAGAGAAGAAGCTACAGAGAAGACGGAGGAAGGAAGGAAGCAGGATGGAGAGCCAGGAGACCTGGAGGGGCCACATGGAGCCGAGAGACACATGAAAAACTGCGCTTGCATTTTGGTTGTGAATTGGATGACACAGATGTGGGTGAGACCCGTGGGGAGGTGACCATGGCGGGTTTTGTCTTGATTTTGATTTCGCTCTTTTCCTCCTGGACTTGTCTGGTTGTTTCTGATCCTTTTCTGTGGGTCCCCACTGGAAGGTGCTTTAGACCTGTGGCAGGCTTTGGGGCCTTGCTCTGGACCAATCCTGTGGGTGGACTTTTACCCACGAGAGGACGGGTAACTTTGGGTGCTTGATTTAGAAACTATATTCTTTGCCTTCCAGTGTGTTTCCTAATTGTATTAAGTTCCTTCCATTAAAGTCTTACATGTTTGTGTTGATGTGGCGGATGGCAGAACCCATTTAGAGTAGGCAGGTTTGCGGAGTCTGGGGTGCCTCTCTCCCTGCCCTGTAACACTATGACCTCTCACGTATCACATACTAATGCTACTGAGGAATCCTCGTTGCTCTACACTTTCCACCCATTGCACCTTTCCTGAACTATGTCTCCTTCCGGAAAGGCTCTTCTTCTCTTTCTCTAGCTACTGAAATTCTACTTTTCTTTAAAGACTTGCCTCAGACAATTCCTTCATAAGACTTTCTGGTTATTTCACTTGTCATCCTGTGTGTCAGTGGTTTTCCTTTCATGTTTGCTGGTCCCATTCTTATATTGCCTCCTTCATATCCATCCGTCCATCCATCCATCCATCCATCCATCCATCCATCCATCCATCCATCCATCTATCCATCCATCCATCCACCCAGCCAGCCAGCCAGCCAGCCAGTTCATTCATAAAATAAATGCCATAAGCAGATAACGAGACACAGGTTGCCTCATATGTGGCTTGCATTCTAGTGTGGGTGGAAGGAAGGGACAAATGAAAGAGGTCAGGTTATCATACAAAGATTAAGACTTAAAATTTCCTATCCAGAGATGGCTAAAGTGTGCTTTTGGCATCAGGAGACAAAGGTTGATGTGAGATATAGTCACTTAGATAATTATCATTAAGACAATATTCTCAGCGCCATCAGATAAAATATGGATAAAATGTCATGGAGTCATAGATGAGGAAGTGATTATTTTTGCCCAGAGATCCAGGAAAGTCACATGACAGAGAAAATCTATGAACTTGAAGAGCAGCAGCTTTTTGAATAGACACAGTTTGGATAAGGACAAGGCATTCAATGCAGAAGAAGCAGAAGGGCCAACATGTTTTGGGAACAGCCAAAGGTTTGTTGTGGCTGGAGGGAGTATGTGGGCTTGTATGTCTTTTTCTCAGTCCACCGTTAGCCACATCTCTCCTTCAATTCTCGTCCCAATTGTCCTGCATCAGCCACTCCTGTTATGGGGTGGAAGGCCTTCTCTCGTCAGGGCCACACTCCCCTTCTTGGGCTGTGATTTGGGGAGTTCCCTGGGTCCTTCCCACACACAAAAGGCATGGAGCACTGTCAGCCCACACAGTCATCAGGTAATGGGGTGGTCCCCAGGAAAGGGGGAGGTCCAGGTTTCCTGCCCCACCCAAGGGAGGGTGGAGCTGAGCAGGGACAGTAGAGGCTGCAGAGGAGACTGAGGAAGGAAGGAAGGAGGATGGAGAGCCAGAAGGAGACCTGGAGGAGGCATGTGAAGCAGAGACACATGAAGTAACTGCGCTTGCCTTTAGGTCGTGGACTGGGTGACACAGATGTGGGTGAGAAACCCGTGGGGGACGTGACAATGGTGGGTTTGTCTTGATTTTCATTTTGCTCTTTTCCCTCTGGACTTGTCTGGTTGTTTCTGATTCTTTTCTGTGAGTCCCCACTGGAAGATGCTTTAGACTTGTGGCAGGCTTTGGGGCCTTGCTCTGGGCCAATCTCATTTGGATGGAGTTTTACCCACGAGGGGACGGGTAACTTTGGGTGCTTGATTTAGAAACTAGACTCTTTGCCTTTCCTGTATTGTTTCCTAATTGTTCCTTCCCATTAAAGTCTCATGTTTTGTGTTGATGCGGTGGATGGCAGAACCAATTTAGAGCAGGCATGTTTGGGGGTCCTGGGGTGCCCCTCTCCCTGCCCGTGACAATCACATTATCTTTCCTACAATGATATGTTGCAGACAATGGGAACAGTTTTAATAGGCGTGAAGCATTTCTTGGCTGCTTTTTTTCTGTTGCTGTATTTTCATGTGGGGGTGTGTGGGATAAAGGTACAGCAGTGACACAGAAATTAAGATCAAGAAAGCTGGCTGGATTCTGGTCAGTGTGCCTTGGAAATCTGAACTGGCCATTGGGTCCTGCAATTTGGAAGGTCCATCACCAAATGGACTCCTCCCACCCCAAACATCCTCTTTAAGTCAAAGGGTAGAGCTGAAAGCTTTTAGCTGTAACTTAATATGCAGAGATTTTCAGAACACATGATTTTTCATACGAGGCAATGTGCAATTATTTAAAGGGCTGATGACTCAGAAATTTTTGGTAGTAATATGGCCTGTCCTGCCATAGGGAGAATAAACAGGAGAGACAGTCCTTCCAGACTTGACTGAATAGACTGGCTATTTCCTCAACCCAGTAGATGAGTAGGCAGAAAAGGAATCATTTATGTTATCCCACAGTGAGGCTAGCTGTTTTTGATTTTGCTTTTCAAAATATTGGGACTAAAATTAGTCCTGGGAAGAATCTAATTTTTCACCATTGCACATTTCCCCCTCTTGAAGGTTAAGAAGTCCTTCTTGTGGGCCTCCCCTGGTGGCGCAGGCGGTTGAGCGCAGCACTGTGAAGCTGTCCACATCCTCTGCAGCGCCGGTTCCATCCAGGCTGGCCAGCGAGGGTCCCACATGGTGCAGCAGGCCTCTCCTGTCTCGCCTGCTTCTCCCCTCAGCAGTATATTTCATCAGTCTTCCTGTTTTGTTCCCCTCTCTGTCTCTCGTGAATCATCTCACCCTCCCGCACATCTGGCCTGTACCCTGGTTCTTGTATAAATAAATAAATAAATCTTTAAAAAAAAAAATCCCACCTTGTAATGACCAAGAGATTACAGTGTTTCAGACACCAGGCTGATTACATTATCTCATTTTGTCATAGCAGCGATGCTAGGTGTAGGGACTAATGTTATCCCATACCAAGATGTCGTATTACCTGCAGGAATTTGAACCAGCTTGACTGTATTTTCCAACTTTGTTTATTCTTCTGCTGTTTTCTTTCCCTAAGGAAGCCCATCAAAGAGTTGAAGACAGATAGCACAAGCCTCCCTAATTTCTTTATTTTTTAAAAGATTTATTTTTATTTATTTATGCACATAAGAACTGGGGTATAGGCCAGAGGTGCAGGGGTGAGAGGATTCACCAGAGAGAGTAGGGAGCAGAACAGGCAGATCTACTGAAATACACTGCTGAGGGGAGCAGTGGGCTAGATAGGAGAGGTCTGCTGCACCATGTGGGTTAGCTCCCTAACTAGGGTTCGAGCTCAGGCAGCTGTGGCCGGGATAGCTTGACAGCACTGAGACTGTTAGGGGAAAAAGGCTGTCCCAAAGCTAATTCCATACAGGCTTTGTGGACTCCACCCCCACCCCAGTGTTAGGGGGAAAAGGCTGCCCCAAAGCAAATTCCATACAGGCTTTGTGGACTCCACCCCCACCCCACGCCAAAGCCAAAGACACTGGGAACTCTACATCCCATCACCACCCAAGGGAAGGTGGCTGGGACCGGAGGGTGGGGTTAAGCAGCCAGGTGGATACAAAAGGCAGACATGTGGGCTTTGGGGCTCTCTCCATTTTGGGGCCCTCGGCCAGCTCGCGGCGTCCGTCTAGCTCTGAGAGTGACTTTGGGTTTCCAGGTCGTCGGATCGGGTAGGACGCATTAAAGACTTTATTTCCCTATTTTCTCCCTGAGTTGTACATTTTCCTTATTTCTTTTTCTCTTGTAAATAAACCTTTTATTAACCCTTTGTCTGTAGTAGAGTATTCATAAGTCCCTTTAAAGCGCGCGGGTGAGGACCCACAGCCAGGAACCCGTTTAATATCGGGGTTGCTCTATAACAAGACTTTAACCCCTGCATCACCAGGGAGGCCCAGACCTGCCTAACTTCTTCTTACAGCTTATTTTGGTTTTTGCCCCTTGCATCAAATAGTTCAAATTTGGCTAGGTTACTCCCTTCCCTATGGATGTGTTCCAGAAGGTCACTATCCTTGTTGGGTATGATATTTTAAGTGTGTTCAGAGGAATGGGACCCCTGGAGTAACTGCTTCTCCCCTATTCTGGTTATCATATTCCTGTTAATGCAGCCATAGAGCAGTTGAGAAGTCTATCACAGATTCCTCAACAAAGGCATTGCCCCCAGGAGGGAAGAAAAGAGCTTCCAGGAGCACTCAAGCAGGAGTATGGCTGTTGGTACTGGTATCTACTAGTTACTTTTCTCTCCCATATGTATTCTTAAGTTTTCCTGGAGTAAATATATAGGGGAAGGATTGAGGAAACTCTGAATGACTCAACCCTTTACTGAACTCTGAACTTGGGCAAGTTGAACCTCAGATTCCCTTTGTATTGAAAAGGAACTGCTAATCAAATGAAATCTTTCCTGTTTCCTGCTAAAAGAGTCACAGGTCTGGTGCAGTAAATAATGCAAAGTAAATGTAAATAACAAGTTTTACCTCTCTAAAGCCTATGGAGATGAGATTACCTAAAGGAGGTTACATTTTAACAAGGCCAGATAGCTGCCAGGCTGATTGATCTCCCAGGGCATTCTTGAATACCTGTCTTTTCTCACAAACTTTTGTGCTTACTGACCAATGTTACCAATGTAAGATGGCTATGTATCAAAGAAACCCTCTGTCCCTAGACTGGTTGGTGCTCCCACCTTATGGGACTACCCAGGTCTGGGACCTCATGCATGAGTAATAAAGCTTTCCTGACTTCACCATTCCTGAAGTACAGATTGTTCTTCCCCGGCCTGGGTAAAAGGCTAGAATTTATTTCTGCAGCAGTATTACATTTGGTCAGTCTGGGGTAAGGAGCCTTGATAAATTGCCTGGCGCCTAGTAGGTATTTCACAAAGCATGAACACAGCTGTTAATATATCCCTTGGTTCAGAACATGGAGAATAGCTGGTCTTTGACAGAAGGGCCTGGATGACAGAGGGTGTGGGCTGTCATGACTTGAACTGAGTGAAGCTACCCTTCTTTGCAGAGTCCCTGCTGCCCTGGATGTAAGCTTAAGGCGGGAGCCCTGCTGGGCAATGCATTTTGCCTGGAGGCAGTGTGAATGGTAGCTCCAGTTTTAACCAGAAGTGCAAAGCACATAAGGTATTGCAAGAGAGGAATATGTAAATGAGGCAATAGATGCAGAAGTGCTTTGTAAACTGTAAAGTGCAGGACACGTGTTTATTGTCATTTTTACACAGTTCATTCTGTCTCTCTACTGTTCGGAACTATTAGATCAACATTTAAGGCTTTCTTGTAGAAGGCTACCATATGCTGGCCAGGCTGCCGGAAGCACTAGAAGCATTTTTCTCAGAAAGAAATGGCTGAAAGCCCATGGTCTTTATTGATTTACATTTGCAAGCCATAACTCCTTATCTCTTTTATGCTCCTGATATCATGATGTCCATTTGTGTAATACATTAGTCTGGCCAGGATTGATGCCAAGTCCTAAATAACTAGAGTGGGAGTGTTGATTTGTGCTGAAAAGTCAGTTGGGAATCCAGGTTATTGGACTCAGTGCTCCCTTTTCACTCTCCCTGTGGAGAAAGAGAGGCCAGCATCGCCTCTCTGTAGGGTCCCCAGGATGAATCATTTATGCTATCAAAGTTCTTTGCGATCCTTGGATACTACATAAACACGAGGCATAATCATTATGAATTATAAGTGAAGCAGACGGAGGTTTTAAATTAAATAGCACCATTGTGTTATTTTTCATCAGGATTCAGAGCAGCCGACCTTCCCAGCAGAAGTAACTTAGATAATTTGATTCTCTCACTTAACCAGGACTGATCACTGCAGGGATAGAAATTAATTTCTTGAAAAACAGCTGCGGGTTTTCCTCCCCACCAGTCTCTCTCTAAGCTTTGCAGATGCAGTTGTAATGAAACTGTGGTGGAGGTTCCACTGGGTGACTTGTTAATTCATGGGGGGCTCGGTAAGTGGTTCTCCAATTTTTGGTTTACCTGGAAAATGAGTGTCCTTTGGGCGACGACCCAAATCAGCTGCAAGTTTAAAGACACTACGTGTGTACAAACCTAACGGTTTGGAGAGTTAGTAAAAGGAGATTCAACCCAACTGATTATTTGTCTGCATTCAACCCTTGCAAATATCCTGGAGTGGGATAGAGCTAGCGGGGCCAGGATCCACTATGTACCCCCTTGCCAGGGAAACTGACAGGAAGGTGATGTGTTAGTTGAGCTAAGTCTTTATATTCTGTTGACAGATGCTACAGAATGTAGCAGAATGACAGTTCGGTGTCACAGAATTGGTCATAGCTGCCAAACTGGATAAGCAGGAGCTAGGCCATAGAGAAGGCTGGGGAGACCTAGGGAAGATGGAAACTAATATTTAAAAAGTGTTTCTCCCCATGCCAGTGACTTTCCACTCAAACACTATGAGATCTTAGGAAGCCACTTAACTCCTGAGTCTTGGTTTTCTCATGTATTAGATAAAGGCATCTGAATAGGTGATATTGAAGAGTCCCTCTGCCCCTGGAATTGATTAACACATTTTGAAGACCCCATTAAATTTCCCACAAAAAGCTTTGCTGGGGCTAACAGTCAGCTTCAGTGCTGTTGGGGTCTTGTCATATTAAAATAAGGCCTCTCTGTGTATTCCCACTTTCCCTCCCTCTTGACTCCTACCTAGGCTTTGCTCTCTAAGCCTTCAGCTAGAACTTAGGTGCTCTAGACAGGGCAAGTCTGAAAAGAGATAGCGAAGTAGCGTTTGTGGATAGGGAAATGGCTTTTCCAGAAATTCAAAATTTAGGTCTATCTTTGCCACTGGTATTGGGGAAGTATGTCAAGAAGGCATCCTGGGAAGAAGATGGCCTCATCAATGGAGACATGAAGGGACAGTCACATAAAGATGATGGAGCACTAAGGTGATAAACTATCCCATCAATCTCTCTCCAGTCACTGTGGTTCAATACTGCACATCTTCCTGTGGCCTCTTACTCATATTCAAGATTGCCTTGAATTGGTGTTCCAGGATTTGATTCTATTTAAATATAACATGGAGATATAGTTTTGGAGTTTTTGCTGGGAAGTGACTTCTAAGAGAGGGCTAGATGATCCAGCCTGGGTGTCCGGTGTCGTCATATGATGAGTTTGAGTTGCCATCAGAAAGAGCACACAGGCAGCTGATACCACTTAATGGCAGATGTGCCTTCTTGAATGGTCTCTTCTTTTCTGCCAGCTGCATATAAATGATGACTAGAACTTAAGAACTGACAGAGCCACAGTGTAGTAGAAACTTGAGTCTCTGAATACTGCATGGAGGAAAACCATTGACCAGCCAGGAACATCTGTCAAAATAGTTTTCTCTTTAACTAAACCATGAAAAAAATTGTTACTGCAAATAGTCCCCACCTAAGGAATCCACAGTGATCTGCCTCAGGTCTATAGTCATTTTTGGAAGGTGGGAGGTTGCGCCCCACACCACTTCATTAACTTAAGCATTTAAGGACATTTTAAGGATGATCCCTGAAGAACTACCACTTTCCTCCTTTTGTTCTGTAGAAACTACACCTGGAGCAAAATGCTTTTTTACCTTGTTCCATGTCATCTTTTGGTGAGTAGGTAGTAGGGTGAGACTGTAAACGCCATGGGAATGGGGACAATATATTTATGGTTTATGCCAAGACCTCAGGTTTACAGCACTTAGGGGGTATTCAATTTAGATCTGTTGAAAGCATGAGGTATGAGAGTTCCAGCTGTATTTGACATAGAGCACTACACAGTTTAATCCCAATGTACCTTTCCAACCACATTCACCCCAGTACTGCTCTCCCAGGCCACTCTGTAAAGAGGGGCAGTTGAGTATGAAGGATAAGAACATGGCCTTGGTATCAACCTATCTGAACCTACCTGTTGATCTACCTCCCTGATTCTGCCACCAGAGATGTGACTGGGGGCAAGTTGTTAATCCCATTGTACCTTCTTTCACCCTGTAAAGTAGGAATGATAACTACCTATCTCATAGGGCCTGAGTAAGGTTAAACTGTTTCATGCCTTCAGAGCCTTAATGCATTCAAACAATATCTTGTAAATTTGGGTCTTGGGATGTAGTCCCAGTGGATTAGGGGGTGTACTGGCTGGGGGGGTTTCTGTGTTGTGTTTTGCCCAGGAGGATTTTGCGCTTCCTGGGAACATGGTCCCTTCATGCATACAGCTTTGACTTAGCAAGGAACTCTACTTCAGTGTGGTTTAGCTTGATGGAGGCGGGAGATGAGTGTGGAAACACAGGCAGAAAGCTGATCAAGAGGAGGACTAAGAGCAGAGGCCTAATCCTAGAAGTGGTGTCATTCGAGGGGAGACTGTAACTTCTAGCCTCCTGGGACAACAGGATGCCTTATCTTCTGCCTGCATGTTGTCTGTCCCTCTGGATGTTGGTATTTCAGCAAGGATGGAATTTCATTGTTTCCCTGGCTCCGACAGGTCTCCTGCCTGGCAGAACATTATTGATTCTTACAGATTGACAAAGACCTTTCTGATACTCTTTCTGCCTTTGCATTCAGGATCTGTTTTACTCTCTCCTTTGAAGATGCTTTGGAGGCAGGCTTTGAAATGATGGCCTCTCTAAAGGAGAGAGTCGTCATGCCTGGAGATTGGTGACAGGACAGAGACTGTATGACCCAGAGAAGATAAGTG